CACAGTCCGGCTTCGTGCAACGTGCCGCCACTGCCACTGTGGCGCGCACACCCAGCCGGAGGAACAAGGGCCCAGTCCCCGCTAGGAGTTCTCCAGTCAAAGAAGCGGAATTCCTTGCGGGCGGGCCATACGTTCAGGCCGCCCAAACGCTGCTTGGGTCTGGAGCAGCAGAGGATGTGATCTACATCCGGGCGTACAGCTTAGATTGCCCATCCTGCATCGAGGCAATCGAAGCGTCGCTTAGCAAGGGCGCAGGCGTTCGGATTGTCGCCGACATGGGACAATGCCACCGCACCAAACTGCAGTGGCAAGCGTTGAAACGCTTGGCGGCTGCAGGCGCCGAGGTGAAGGTGGGTTGCGGCACATCCGTGCGCGACGCCTATGCTCGCGACGGCCGCGGGGCTAAAGTAGGTACCGGTATCCAAGGGCTTCACCATGCCAAGGCCCTTTGCCTACTGCGGCCTGATGGCGCGGTGGTGCTGATTGGGAGCCTCAATTTTACCACAAGCAGCAAAGCCAATGCGGAGGCAGGGCTTAGGCTTGAGGTCGCCAAGACGCACCCGGTCGCGCAGTCCTACATCGAGGATTTCCAGAGGGTGTCGGCTGAGGCATTCTCCCTCGATGAGGCGGTCGCAAGGCGCCCTCAGTTGGAGCGAGCCAGTAGCTCCAACGTTGCTGGCATCGCCACTCGTGCCCCCATCACTGCTCCACAGGGTATCGAGTAGGCTGCGGCCAGTCGGCGCAGCGTGGAATCGTTTCCACGCGATTTCTTAGGCGTCACAGCGCGGCACGCTGTCGTGCCTCTTTTGATTGTATTTTGCTAGCGGGCGAAGAGCCGCGGCAGGGTTTGCCCTGCCCATTTTGCCTACCCCGCACTTTTCTTCTCAGCCCGTTGCGGCTGCTGCGGACCGTGTCCTGGTCGCGGCAATGCGCTCGCCGAAGCGCGTGTGAGCTGCATTGCCTGCGGCACAAGCCATGTGCGCGGCTCTCGCTGAGTCTGGTAGCCCGTAGGGTAGTTCCGGATAGGTGAGTAGCCGTAGCCGTAGCTTAGGACCGGCCGTGTACAGTGTACCATCTGTACCATAGATTTCAGTGTCTGCCGTAGCAGTCCTCAAGGCACTCAGTGGGCTCTGTGTACTGGAGCCTCGACTCAGGTCATGCAAAAGACCGGTCCGCCTGGTTTAGGCTGGTTTTGGAGGGTCGCTCGTTTGGGTCGTCTCGTTTCGCGTGTCTTCGTTTGCGGGCTTGCGCCCAAAGCCGCGACGGACGCCCGCCCTCCTTGTGGAAGTCACTCACCGGAGCCTCGGCTGAGGGGCGAATGTGAGCTGACATGAGTGCATATGCATCTTCTGCTCTGTGATGCATTAGGACTCGGCAGACCACCTTGTAGTTTTCCTTTGCATGTAGAGTTTTGCAATTCGTAACAATGCCAATTTTTTGGCTCAAGTACCGAGCTTGTGCCTTTGAGCACGGTAGAGTCGTACAGTAGCTCCTAGGTTGCTGTGCGGTCCGACCGGACGCACTCAGGCGTAGCTGCACAAGTGCTTGGACTCACGAAGTCGTAAAACAGCGTGACCGGGCTGTGATTGCATTGGCTTAGTGCAAGTCCAGTGCTGGTCGACTTCACAACTTACTGACTATGTGTATGTGTATATATACATACATACATATATGTATCGATATATATATATATATAAACATATATATACATATATATATATATACATATATATGTATATAGAACGTTCTACGTACACCAGCACCCAAAGCCCTAAACCCAGCTGTGGTCAATTTTGCTCTGGTCTTCTCACAGCTCACAGGGCTCCCAGCGCAGCAGGCACAGCCACCCCCGCCAGGCGAGGTGTGTGCGCCTCGTCCTCACATCGAGTCCCAGAAATTACCCTCACGGGGCTTGGGCTTCTAGATCCGAAGTCTGCAATTTCTTGCAGGGGTTTAGGGTTTAGGGTTTAGGGTTTAGGGCTTATAGGGTTTAGGGTTTAGGGTTTAGGGTTTAGGGTTTAGGGTTTAGGGTTTAGGGTTTAGGGTTTAGGGTGTTGCAAAGCTTTGGGCACCTGAGGACTTTAAGCAGGGGCTCTTTGGGGGGCACAGGGGAGTCTTGGCTTCTGAGCCACTCCAAGGCCCAAAAGGCTTTGTCCGAGCAACGCCTTATGCTAAACCCTAAACCCTAAACCCTAAACCCTAATACCCCAAACCCTAAACCCCAACCCCAAAAGGTCTCAAACAAGGTCCCGCGCTTGGTACGCGTCTCCAGCTCACCAGCCAGCCGGAAGGCCTGGAAGAGCCCTTGCATTCAGGGTTTAGGGTTTAGGGTTTAGGGTTCAGGGTTCAGGGTTTAGGGTTTAGGGTTCAGGGTTCAGGGTTCAGGGTTCAGTGTCTGGGGTTCGGGGCACTAAGCAATTGATTTGTGCGTGACAGGCTTGGCGACCGAAGCGACGAGCTGCTTCTGCGACATAAGCTGCAGAAGCGCGAAGCAGCCAACATGGCAAGTCTTTCCGAAATCCCTTGGTACCTACAGTAGCCCCCATGAACCCCCCCCCTTAAGGACACTATTTTACTGCGAAAGGGATGGCATCGCCTGCCCCTGAACCCTCCTAAGCCCTCCTAAACCCTGCTACACCCTGCTAAACCCTAAAACCCTTGACCTGGTGGCGGCGGCACCACCCCGCATAGCACAGCGCCAATCTGCGGCGCCTGGGCGCCGCACGAGCACGAGCTGCAGGGTTGGGGGGTGGGGGGGAAGGGTGGGGGCGGGACTGAGGGGAGGGCACCCTTGCTGCTATAATTAGTTCAGGGACCTAACGACCGGAGCGAAAATACTTATAACGACTAGGGCCCAAAAGCCAGCTCGTAGTCTTCTTCTGGTCATATGGGCTCGAAGCCCTATAACCTCCCTCCCCCTAAATGCTGTCAGCTGCTCTCGCACAGCCTCTGTCCCCGGAAGCCCTACAAGCCCTAACAACACCAAAACCCTAAACCCTAAACCGTTTGCCTAAACCCTGCAAGCCCTTCAAACCCGAAACACTTTTTTCTTGCTTCCATTTCCAAGCCCCGCGGCCGGGCCCCGCAGAACTCAGCGCGCCAGGTGCGAAAGGTCGACCTTGCGTCCGATGACTACTGTACAGGGTTTAGGCTTGAGGGTTTAGGGTTTAGGGGGGTATTGTAGCTGTATACAGCTTCACTGCATAACGGCGGAGATGAAACAGTCATTTTTTGTGTCAATCCACGAGGGAAATTGGGGCACAGTTTCTGACGATTCTGAACATTGCCAATGGTGCTTGAATTTTGTACACTAGTAGGTACAATTCAAAATGGCGGGGCCCTGTATAATCAAACTATTTGGCAAGTCTAAGTCTAGTAAGATTAAATCACTGGTGCCATTTGCAGGACTGGAATGAGACTTTTCTTTCGAGGCGGCCGGTTCAAGAATCTACCTAATTGAAGGGCCTGTCATTCAGTCATTTCGCTTGTATTAACCCATAGGGCTTGATAAAGAGCGTGTGGTTAAAAACTCCATCTGCGCTGACCCACTTAAACCAGGGGCTAAGGATACTCAACGGTATTCTTTTTCACACGCATATGTACAGACCTACACAGAGATGTCTTGTAGACAGAGGTGTTTCCGTTTTATTTGCCTCAACACATACACCTTTATGCATGTATGTTCTCTCAATTCGACTCAGAGTCTTTCAGGGCCTACTTGGAGGTTCATGGGTGCTTACGAAGGGTAATCGTAGTTATCATGATTTTCTTCCCCAAACAGCTGTAGCTGGGGGTTCGTAATTTGTGTAAAAGAAAGGGTTTCTCTGACGTTCATTTGGACAACTCATTGCACTAGTCTACAAGTTGCCTTTCATTTGTCCTGAACCGACCCTGGATGCCGTCGCGCCCGTCTGGGATTGCAGGAACCCCCAACAATAGGTTTAGGGTTTAGGGTTTAGGGTTTGGGGCTTGGGGCTTGGGGCTTGGGGCTTAGGGCTTAGGGCTTAGGGCGTAGGGCTTAGGGCTTAGGGTTTAGGGTTTAGGGCCTTTTACAAAACTACTCCCCTAATTTCCCCCAATCCTGGCCTTGCCAGTGCCCTGCGGCCGCGGCTGCGGCCGGCCCACGCGCGAAGGCAGCGTCGCAGCCGACTCCGCCGCGCCTTGGGAGTTCTCACGCCCAGGCTTGGGCAGAGGGTTTAGGGATACCTTCGGGATACCTTAGGGATACCTTAGGCATACCTTAGGAATACCTTAGGAAATACCTTAAACCAACATTGTGTTGGAAGGTGATGACTTTCCTAACGTAACTATCGTAACTCTACTGCACAAGGAGTAAGTTTGGGGCGCACAGCTCTTGGAAGTGATGCAGTACAGTGTGAGGGCTGCTTCTTGTTATTGTATAAGGTCTTCGTGTCGGCTCCTGCCTAGGGGCTCAGACAACAACTGTTCAGGCGGACGTCAGGGTCGACGCAAAATGCTGTCTTCAACCAGCCCAAGACTCAAACCTTCAAGCTCGGATCGCTTGGCCCCGCGCCACCTGCAACTTCGCACGCCTTGGACGTGTTTGATCAGCTTCATGTTCGCAAGGCTACGGCATGCTACGGCTCAACATGCGACTCACTTTTGTATCTGCTGCGATTCAGCCTCAGCTCCCAAAACTTTTTACGTTCCTACCGTGAAGTCTGCCAGGGCACCAGAAGAAGAACAGACGCATGGCCGGCCGCTGCCCGCGCAGGATGCGGACCTCGAGCCCCCCGCACCCTTCGCAGCCAATCTGGAGACCCTTTGAAGTTTTGGGACATCAGGGGACAAAGCCGAGGAGCCATGCAACCTCAAGAACTCCCAAACCTTGGAGAATGTCTTCGTAGGTAACTTTTCGCACTCGGCTCTGGCTTGAAAGTTCAACAGGGAAAATCCGTCAGAGTAAAGCTATTCGAGAATGTGCCCTTGCGAATCAAGAGCTGCAGCTCAGGCATGGCTCAAAGGCGAAACTGTTATTCTCAATGGATGACGCTGTGACCTATGATCTTCGTGGTTCCCATTGCGGCAATGGTCGTAGCCAGGACGTCCTTGTTATCGTTGACATCCCTCGCCATGTCCTTGATGACGGGGTCGTCAACATCTACCTCCATCTCATGAGTTTCACCCTCCGCATCCATCAGCGTTACCACTCCATCCTCAACAGCCATGACGTCGTACTCACCTTTCGACACTTTCGGCACATCAACAAGGTGCGAAGTCGGAGCAAGAGTCTCGTACTTCTTTCCCGTGAAGATGTCGATGCCGACAAAGACGGCTTTTGCGTGTCCGTGTTTTCCGGTCTTGGATATGGTGACCTCGGTAATCTTGCACGGCGCGCCCTTGATCATCATGTACGAGCCTTTGCGGATTTCACCCGCATGTTAGAGTTAGGAGCGGCGAAAAGCTTTACCAAGCCATGGCCACCCGCCGAGCTCAGGGCATTTCCAGCTACTGGCGTGTGTCCGACATGCTGAGCCTGGCTTTGTGCAGCCAGAACCCCAACGCCACCGATCGAGGCCACGGCCGCAGCAACCCCAAGGCCACCGAGAACATGCCAGCGAAGCGGCTTCGGCGCTGCCGGCTTGGATTCCTCCACCAGGAGCTCCTGGGCGTGTTCCTCGTCGACGTGGGCCATGGTTCTGGCTCCCGCCAGAAGAAGGGACGCCGAAACAGACGAGATGCTGAGCCACAATCTTGCCAGGTTGTCATGTTCCAAAGCATGTTGCGGGAAGCTGCATGGAGCGCAGTGAGGTGCTATGCCCTTATGTCATACAGCTTTCGTGCTCCGAAGCCGCCCCACCCACCGCCTAAACCCCTCGAGGGTCTGGCCGCAAGGCGCCAGGCACCCAAGGCGCCGCGACCGGCCACCAGACGGCCACTGCCGTGAAGCTGTCCTCCCCCCGCAGAGGCATGTGCGCATGTGTTGTGAGGCCTACTTCTGGCCTGCTCCCCTAGTGTGCGGGTTTAGGGCTTTGGGTTTTGGGGAACTACGGAACTACCCGAGCATCCCTGATAGGGCTAAGGTCAGGCCACAAGTGTGAAAGGTGGGTTGCAACAGGCATGAAGATGTTGACAAGCAGCGTGCAGCAGCGGGGAACTGAGACGGCCTTGTTGGGAACTTGACTGGCTGAGTCTTCACAGTCTATGCGGGATCCGACCACAAAAGTACGGGGCGAGCCCAATGAAGCAGAGAAACATCAGCTAAAAAGCGCTCCATCTTCCATCTTTTGCAGGCATTCCCCAACCCCGCATCGATCCTGCGAGGCGGTGGCGGTGCCAAGAACGCAGCGCCTGCCCAAGTCACTTCAGTTGAAAGCTCGGAGCTTGGAGTCTGCAATCGAACAGACACAGCCAGTGCCAGAGATAGAGACGGAGAGCGAGGGAGAGAGAGTGGAAAAAAGGCAGTCTGTCCGTCCTTCCGCCGGAGGCCGTGCTCCACTGTGTGCTGCAGCTCACAGGCGACCAGGAGCCGTCTCCGCCACTGCCGCCAGGTGGCGAAGCTCTTTCCAAGGAGGCGGCACCTGCACAGCGGAGGGTGGCACGGGGGTGAAACATCAGGCAAATTTGCCCTGGGCACATCAAAAAACTTGACAAACAGCTAGCAAATTTGAGTAAGCAGTCAAACGCTATGAAACGCAGAAGTTTCTTGCTGTTCGCAGGCTCTACATGCTGAGAAATGCAGCATTTCTGGCTGTTCGCAAGCTCTGAATGCCTAAAAATGCAGCATTTCTGCGTCTTCCACGGCTCCACATGCTGTAAATTCCAGCATTTCTAGCCAAACGTGGCCCGCTCCAAGCACAGGGTTGCGGGGGGTGCGCAGCCCGTCCCCATTTGCAAATACAATGCTCGCATGATGCGGTCTGGAAAGGATTCATATTTGTGCAGCGAGCATTGCACGGCTTAGAAGAAGCAAGCATTGCAGGGCTTAGAACTAGGTCCCAAAACAACCGCCCCCCCCCTCATTTGCAATACTACTAAGACTCTTGACATTCGGAATGAACATTAAGGTACTAGATCAGGAAGCGCTGCGATGACATTGCCCCGTGTCGTCAAGAACATAGAACACTATAGAACAACAACCGATCTCCCTCCGCCTTCCCTGCAGCATCAGGCGGCGGAGGCGCCGGGCAGCCCGCGCAGCGCGGCGCCAGGAGAGGAAGGAGTGCAGCTCCTCCTCTACAGGATTCTGCAGCGTAGCGAGACTGAGATGAGGCACTAAGAGAAAAAGAAAACTCTAAAGGGCCTGGGGTGGATGCAAGGCGGTCCATCTCACATGCATCCGTCCAGCTAAACTTACAGGCCCGTCCCTCATCCAACCTGGGCTCGGAACTGCAGAAGCCCTGCTCAACCACATTAAAACCTTTCTAACCCCATAGAACCCTGTAGAAGGCTGTAAACCCTGGTAAACCCTACAAACCCGAAAAAGCCATAAACCCTGCCTGGCCAATGTTGGCTCCCCCATGCCCTCAAAAGGCCTGTCGCTGGCGCGCTGCCCTCCTCGCGTCGAAGCGCGAGACCCTCATGACCTGCCATGCAATCGATGTGAAGTTGCAAGAACCATCCAAACGGGATCCTACTTCATGCGGCGCAAGAGGCATCCTTCAGCAAGCCCTGACACTCTCAGCCCTAAACCCTGCTGAGGGAGGGTTTAGCAGGGTTCAGGGTTCAGGGGTTTAGGGTTTGGGGGTTTGGGGGCTTTGGGGCTTTAAGATTCATGGAAAGATGCACCAACGGAGCCCCCCCAAAGAAAGAATCTCGACTCCCGCACCTCGCACCATGAGCACCCTCCGGCAGCCCCTGACGCCCCCCAAAAATACCCCCCATACGTGTGCACACACACATATCCCTACACCCTAAACCCTAAACCCCAAAACCCCCCCTCAGCGCCCCAAGTTCTTCCGCCTGGCGCCAGGCACCCAAGAGCTGCACCAGGCACTTTGCAGACGCCGCGGCGCGCAGCCGCAGCGCCGCAGCCACGCGGGACCTCGGCGCGAATGTTAGGGTTTTGGGCTTTGTAGGGCCGAGGGCTTAGGGTTTCATGTAGAGTTTTGAGTCTGGGGCGTTGCAGGGTTGAATGTAGGGATGGTTTTGGGGTTTACGGTTTGGGGCAGGGATACTCGGCTGATCTCCCTGACATTAGTCCATCGGACCTATGACTCGCGCCCACTCAACTGACTTTCTTCAGGAGATTTCTGCGCGTGCTTGATGCTGTAATTGCAAGCACTTTGCGCATCACGAACTTACATTCTCACGGCCGTCTGGCCAGAGTATAGTTCAGTCAGCTCAGCCTGCAGAAGCTATGGAATACGAGAATCCCGCCCCGAAAGATTGAAGGGCCTGTAGGCTCGCGTCAAGACTCTCCGTAGTTCTCGAACGTGTGTTGATGCTTATCATTGCCAGTCTACAGCAGCTTCCTCGTCTCAGCCGGGCGACACCTGCTGCATCCTGGCCTCCACGAAAAGCTCTGAGCAGCTGCTCCCACGTCCAAGGCCTGAGGCTCAAAATTGAGGGTTTAAGATCTGCGGTTTAGGGGCCTAAGGTCTGGGGGTTGGGGGTGTTCTGTGCTTGGTGTGTTTAGGTAAGTTTCTTGCAAAAGAAAGCCAAATGCCCACCTAACGCGCACCAAAATATCATATTCCTTACTATCGGGGCCCCCAAGACAGGGTGCAACCCCTATTTTGGGGATTCATTCATCTTGGCCCGAGATTGTAGGTCCGGTGTCCCTGTGTCGAGCACCTATTCTGACGCGGTACTTTATTTGAGGCCCCCCCAACTCCCCCCCCCCCGAAAAAAAAAACACATATATTTATTTATTCATTTATTTATTTTCTGTATGTATGTATGTATGTATGTGGAAATAAAGAAAAACAACGATAATAACAACACATATCCAAATAAATAAATTAAAAAAATAGCAAAAACAACAAAAGAATCATACATTGACAATGATGTGAGACTGCCTCTGCGGTCCGTAATTCCTGATCATGCCTGAGCCCTTTGGCCCCGAAACCCTACGGCCCCCGAACATCTCTCCTATACACCCCATCCCTAAACACCCTAAACCCTAAACCCTATACCCGTTGCGCCCTCGACCCTTCGGGCTGCTAAGCCCCAAGCCGTACATGGACATGCGCCGCTAAGCCCTAACCCAAAATGAACGGCGGTATGCTTTTCCCGCGGTTGCGAACAAGCGCTTCACGCGCCGGGTTAGCCGATCCGCCGAAAACTGGTGCCGGCGCGCGGGGGCGCATTCTGCACCCCCCGACGGCCCAGGGGCGGTCGGCTCCCGATAAGGGTGGAAGAGGGTGGGACAGAAAAGCGGGCGAAGCGGCTTAATGCGGCGACAGCTGCGGCGGTCGACGCTTCACATGTCCTAACGCACAAAGAATGTGCTACACGACATGCGCCGCTAAGCCCTAACCCAAAATGAACGGCGGTATGCTTTTCCGGCGGTTGCGAACAAGCGCTTCACGCGCCGGGTTAGCCGATCCGCCGAAAACTGGTGCCGGCGCGCGGGGGCGCATTCTGCACCCGCCCGGCGCACCCAGCCCCCATAAAAGCGACGGCACTAACGAAACTCCCACGAGTCAGAAACCGCCGCGAGATCGTCGCCGGCCATGTCGGACGCGTACTCGACGTCCACCGCCGCCTTGGCCAGGACCACCATAATGGCCTCGTCGGGGACGTCGACCCACTCCCAGCCGAGCTCCCGCGCCTTGGAGAGGTCGTCGCGGGAAACGGCGTCTTTTTTTTTTCATTCATTCGCATCAACTGTGGCAGTTGTCATGCGGGCGAGTGTGAGCTAGTCACCCCTCTCTGTTGGAGGGTTCGCCGGTGTGAGGCAGATAAACCCTGCTGTGCCCCGTGGAGCCCGACAGCAAAGTTGTACAATCCTAGAAAGATAAATACTGCCTTTGGCAGCCGCAAAGCTGTGCTCCTCAGAGCCCGACAGCTGAGGTGTCACAGCTGGGAACTAACAAGTGAAGCTAACAATCAAAAAACTGTACAGGAGACATCATGAGGGCCAGCTTGTCTACAGTCTATGTCTACTCCTTGTCAGAGTGTCGACTCACAAGGCGAGGAGACCTCAGGCCTTGTTGTACTGAGTGTAGAGAGTTAGCCTCTCATGTTTGAGAGCTTGAGAATCATGAATGTTCTGTGTACACCAGTGGGGAGTGGAGGCCACTATCCCAAGTAGAGTCACACATGGCTATTGATGCGGTATGCAAGCAAGTAGCAGTTTGTAAGAATGGCCTGTCGTGTGGCATCCGTCCCTGGCGTGGCGGCCTGGCCGTCGTCATGCACGAGGTGGCAGGACCAAATATCCTCAGTGTCACCAGGAAAGTAGAATGCCTGATAGTGCCCGGCCGTTACCACCTTGCCTATATGCATGACCCCTCCGCATAGCTTGTACGGGGTGTTGACAACGTCACCGGCATGTCCAGTGAAGGTGGGAACAGTGAGATGCTTGTGCATTTCAATCCTCTGCCGCGTTTTCCTAATGCCTCCGGCTGATTGGACAAATCGTCCGATCTGGAGGATGAGAAGTTCGGGGGGTCTAGTTAAGGCATGTGGCGGGTCTTGTGTATGCCAAGCTGTTACAGCATCCTGTATACTGAAGGGGTGTTGGACCACCAATCTTATGTGTGGACAGTTGAACTGCTCATCCAGGATTTCATATACCCCTGCTTGTGGGCGTCTAGCTTCCCATCCCCCCTGGAGTGCCACGCAGTCCGTGCGGTTGCAAAGGTGCTGCAGAAACTCAGCCGCGTCATGCTGTCGCGTGGGCTTCTGCCATCCTGGCCATATGAAGTTCCATGCCGGGTGTCTGGCAATATTCAGGTGCTGGTTGGATCTTGAGGCCTGTACGATGGCCCCATTGACTTCGCCCAGACCTGATATAAAAGCATCATGGGACCGAGCATAGTGCAGCATGTGAATCACTGCGTTGGCGTAGCAAAGGTTATGTGGATTAGTTAGTGCGAGTGATCTAGCATGAGGCTCATTGGTTATACGGTCGCGGGTGCGCCATGCCAATAAAGAGCCCTCCACTTTTGTCCCCGCGCCCGCAGTCCCATGTTTCCCCCTTGACGGGATGCCGACTTGACCCTGTTTCGGTGTACTCTTCACTGGTTGTTCAGTGGTCGCACTCTCCGAATGCCCCAAAGCCCCATCCATGCTGCCTTTGTCCCTGTTCTTAGTGCAAGCCGGATCATTCAGTGTGCTACGGGGTTTTTTCGCTGACATGGCATGGACGGGGGCTGAAAAGAAATTGCGGATGCCTGTCTGCAATTGCTCCTTCTCAGTCTCTTTTTGACTGAGCATGGGGCGCGGAGTCCGCTTTCCCCCGAATTTCTCTTGCTTGCTTTTTAGATCTGCAGTCTCTCGAGCTCCTTGGTGAGCGTCGTCTTGCCCACTCGCTCCCGTCTCAAGCGTAGACCGATCAGCTTGCCCGCGCAGTTGTTTGCCAAGAGGTCCAGGTCGTGGTAAACGGCTGCCGCCTGCTGATGGACGGTGAGTGTCAGGACCATGGTGATCACTTCCGCCTGCATGTCCAGCTTCAGTGGGCGTAGGCTTTGGAACCGGTGCACCGTGTTGTCCTTGGCGGTGTTTGTGATGAGCTGGTTGACTGCCTTTTTTGCGTCCTCGTGAGTGAGGTTGTCCCGACTTGATGGTAGCGCCTTTTTCTGTACCGGATTCCACTCGTTGTAGATCCACTGGAGCGGAGACCGCGTTGCCCATCCTGCTGTTTCTGCCACCTGTAGTACCTTGGCGTCGGACTCGATTTTCTCGAGGCGTGCTTTCCATTCCATGAGTAGTACTCCCCATAGCGTGGCCCTCAGCGAGGTGTTGACCGTGCCTTCCTCGAACTTTGTGTTCCATGTTGCGCTGGCCTGGATCAACATGGAGACAATGCCGTGGTTCGTCGTGTCCAGGAAGAACACGTAGCTCCGGTCTGCCTCCAATATCGTCAGCTGGTGCTCGTGTCTGAGTGCTGTTTTGACCAGGGTTTTCAAGGCCGTTCTCACCGTCTCCTCGTCCAGCGACTCCAGGTCCATCATCAACTCGTCTTCTGCTTCCTGGTCCCGATCCCGTTTTGCCTTGGGAGCTGCCTTGCCTGCGCCCTTGCCCATGCCCTTTCGATACTTTTGCGGCGTCCCTTGCGGCAGTCTGTGTCTGACGGACGCTTGTCTCTGTGGTGTTGGCGTCGTCGCCAGTGGTGAGCTGAGGCCCCACACTGCCGCCATCTGTTGCTCCGGCGTGATCTCCACTGACGTGGAGGTCATGGTACAGGCAGAGCTGCAGCAAAGGGAGGCACTTGCGTCTGTGTTCTCGAGCAGACTTTGGGAAGTGGACATTGCACCAGCAGCAAGGTCGCGCAACGTGTGCTTGTAGCAGTGTTTCGGATTGAGCTAGACTCTGGACAAGCTGTTTCTGAGAGTCATGCCGCTGTGCCATGTGTCGTCGCCAGTGTTGGATGTCTTGCACCTGTTCACCGCATAGGAGACATCGTGTCTTGGCAAGCATGGACATGTGCTGTATGTGCAGTTGCATCTCATCTTGAGTAGGTGATTTGAGGTAAATCGCAACGTCCATCCCTGGGTGTGGCACAGGCCATACTGCAGGGAGCTGGGTCTCAGGTGAAGCGGAGGCCGCCTGTCTGCTGGTCCTTGCAAGTATCAGCTGAAAAAGAACTGGGCATTGAGAGCAATGCCGATCCGAGCCGTGCACCATTCTGTCACACCACTCACATGTATGGTCCCTTTTGAAGAGGTGCTTGAAGGCCTGGCATGAAGTGTGTATGTCTGAGGTGATATGCCGTGCAAGATTCGTATGCACTCTCTGGATATGCGTTTTAATCATGCCGGCATCAGCGATCCAGCGGCCACAGAAACCGCAGTGCTGTTTGAGGTAGGTTTTGTGTAATGCTGCTTGGGTGCATATTCCCTCATGACTTTGTAGCAATGCCAGTGTCACTTCGTTTTGCAGGAGCGTGCTCTCCTCAGTCGTGGTGTTCCGTTGTTCGTGTTGCCGCTCTTTAGGGTCAACAGGGGTATGTGGGGTGTCGATCTTGTGTGGAACAGGCTCTGTTTCCTTAACAGTCTTTGTATCCTGCTGGCTATTGTTGTTCGAGTCGCTGAGCTGTTTGGTGTGCCAACCGCATACATTTTGCATGATGTGCCCTTTTAATGCACCCCAGTCATACAGCTTCAGAAGACAGTGTTTGCATTGTGGCATGCCCGCAACAGAATGTTGTTCGGGTTTGTAGTCAATACTGAGTTTGTTGGCTTGAATCTGTCCGTGTCTGAGCGCCTGGTGTTGCCTAAGGGCTTTTTGGGTCGGGTAGTATAGGCCACATATGGAGCAGGGATGTTGGCTAGTGCCGGAGAGTTCCACCAGCGTCACAGTGCGTTGTTCCACAGCATGGCTGGCAAGTTGTTTGTGTAGCATTTGCCAATACTCAAAGGTCTTAGTTTCGCACGTGGCAGG